AGTTAACATTTTTCTTTCATTTCCTTTAATTATTTATTTTTGAGACAAGATATCATTGTGTAGTCCAGGCTGGCCTTGAGCTCACAATAATCTCCCTGCCTCAGCTTCCCAAGTGAGGCACCACACCTGGTTCTTTAATTCCAAAACTGATTATGTCATCTAATATATTTGGAAGATACTTGCAAAGGTCTCTTTATTCCTCTACAGAACAGTTAATAATTACTAGAGCTGATAGGAAAGAAGAAAAGTCAGCCAAAGAGATGCTTCTGAATTTCTACGCTACTTTTGGAGATACCCCCAAATAGCATACGTTGGAATTTGAATCATTACTGTAATAGTTAAGAGGTGGAATATTTAAGAGATGATTAAGGCCCTGAGAGCTATGAACTTGCAAATGAATTAATGAGCCCAAAGCAATGGCATGAGCTTATAATCTCTGTACTCTTTGAGGCTGAGGCAGGAGAATGACAAATCCAAACCCAACCTGGGCAGTTTAGCAACTTAGTGGGACCCTGTCTTTAAAAAAAATCTTTAGAATATGAAGAGCCCTTTAATAATATATGTTATCATCAGATTGCTTAATGCCAAGGCTAAATATTAAAACTTAAAAATATCCAGAGGATATTTTTGACAAAGACAAACAAGATTTTATGCTTTGGCTTTACAAAGTCTGCCCAAAGCCTCAGGTATTCAGGGGAATGGCTCTGGAAAGGTCATTTGATTATGGGTCGTTACAGCTGACATACAGTTAAGATCTGAGCACTAGTTGGAGGTGGATCACTGCATGCATGACTGGGAAAGCTGTGCATCCCATTCCCATTTGGCCTCTCTCCCCGTCTTCCCCTTTCCCCTCTCCTCATACTGTTCCCTCCTCCCTTTTCCGTCCTCCCTCCTTTCTCCCTCCTCTCCCCCTCTCTGCTTCTTGACCCACTGCCAAGACTGAGTATGTCCTCCTGCAGCTGCACCATGCCTCTCTGCCATCCCTCTGGAGTGAACCCAAATGGACCTTTTCTCCTAAGGGTGTCAGGCATTGTGTCCCAGCAATGACAAAGTGACTAAGACAGGGAACTTTTTTTTTAAAATCAGAAACTGTTTGGACAAGAGACAATTTTAAAGTAAGGCAAAAAACAGCCTACAACTGTGAATCTTATATCCAATGAAAAATATTTCAAAACCCTCTACACAATAAATTTTATTTTTACAACTGTATCCTGTATGCTGTAATATGCAAAAATTAAAATGATATACTTCATCAACAGGAAACATTTGGGTACATTAGAAGAAATATTAAGTGATGTCTTTCAGGCAAAATAAAAACAATTCCAGATGGAGTTGATAGACAAGCTCTGGGGGGAGGTTTAAAAAAGTTTGGATTTATAGCTCTGACAAATTTAATGAATACAAATATTGAAACATTGCCAAATGCAAACCACTAACAGTTTAACAGCTAGGTTATAAAATTGCTTAATATTTAACAATGGTATATCATAAACTAATCCAAATTAATATTGCTGATGAAATGTGCAAGGTCATGAGTTTGATCTGCAGTACAAAGGAAGAAGAGAGGGGGAGTAAAGAAAAAAAGAAAAGAAAGAATATTAACTGGTGAAAAATCAGTAGTAAATATGTGATAAACATCAAAACATTTCACATTATTTAAAAAATCTCTTAAAAGCAATCAATCTTTTAATTTCAGCCAAAATAAATGAAGGAGCAAAATATATAAATCAACAATTTTCAAAATATTGGATACGAGGGAACAAAGGACAGCATAAAATTCAAATGAGCTTTAAATTGCTGTAAGTATATACTTTGAATCAACTTCTCGACCATGACACACACAAGGGAAATGCAAGGAAAGATGGGTAAAATCCCTGAGTTGAGGAGGCATAGCTGAGCATCACGGAAGAACACAGGCAGGTAGAGGTCACAGGGAGAGAATGGGGAAGGGAGAACTGCACAGAGAGTATGCCCCGGGTCTTCAGGGTCACCCTCACCATCCATCAGAGACCTGCTCTGAGCACAGAGCCTATGTGACTGGGAAGATAACTGCACAAAAGCACTAAAGAGAATAGTTGTAATTGGATTTTACATGGGGCCAGGAAAACCTGAAAATTCACAAGACGTCAAGCAGTGATCTTGGAAATATTTTGATTTAGAGGTAGAGAATATTTATTCCTAGTAAGCTAGAGTAAATGCTGCTCTGCATTTTCCCACCTAGCAAATCTTTAAAGCTAGGCATAAAAGAATCAAACTGTTTCCAAGAAACTTCACTGCTCCAAAGCAAAACTTATGAATATGTACAGGAACTTATAAGCTCCAACACCAAAGTAAAACTCAGTGAGGAACAGGCAATGAAATGCAAAAAAAAAAAAAAAAAACCAGACAAATGATACTCATAATAAGGAGAAAAATAAATTTAATAAACTGACCCTGAACTATAACAGATCTTAGAATTCAAAGATGGTTATTACAACTGTATCCCATATCTTCAAGAAGAGAAAGATTGAAAGTGTTAAGTAGTGATCTAGAAATACAAAAAGATGCAACTTAAGGGAATACAAGTAAAAGTCACAATTTCTGAGAGAAAAAAAATGCACTGAAAAATGTGTTAGATTAGACAGTGAGGAATAAAATATTAACAACCTTGATGCTATTTAAACAAATCAAAATAGAATGGAGAGAGAAAAGTAATGTTAAAAACAGATAATTGCAAGTGACAGGACAGTTTCAAGTGGAATAATGTAATTATGGCTCCTCCACATAAAGAAAAAGAGGTAAAGATAGAAAAATAAGATCAGATAACATCATAGCCGAAATCTTTCTAATTAAAAAATTTCTAAATTCATTAATGCATGAAACCCAAGTGTATGCACATGAACACACTCAGATTCACATTTGCACACACCACCAGGGAGTATCATCATTGCCTTGCCCAAAGCCTGTTTAAAAAAGAAAATATGAAAAGCAATCCGAGAAGGAAGACATGTTTTGTACAGTGGAGCAAGATAAGCAAGGCAGGTTTTATTTTATGAAAATGATGTGAGAATACAACAGAACATCAAAATGCTGGGAAAAAAAGATGTTTCTTGAAAATAGTCATTTTAACAGGGTTGGGGGCTGGGGATTTAGCTCAGCGGCATAAGAGCCTGCCTTGCAAGCAGGCAGTCGTGAGTTCGATCCTTGGTACCGATAAAAAGGAAAAAGACCAAAAAAAAAAAAAAAAAAAACAGGATTGGGAAGCCCTCATTGTTATTTTGATCTGTATTTCTCTGATAATTAGGAATGTTCAGCAATGTTATGTAGCTTTTTAAAAAATAAGGCTGCAGCCATTTTTTTTCCATTTTTTCCATGACTTCTGTGGAAAAATTTCTACCCATTTAAAAAGATGATTAGTAGTGATGAACACTTTTTCATATACTTATAGGCCTTTTTATGTCTTTAGAAAAAATTTTTAAAAGTTTATTCTTTATGAAAATGTCCTTTACCATTATTTAGTTGGATGGGTTATTCATTTTTTTAGTATTTGCTTTTCCTGTTGCACCATACGAATTCCTCATACTCTTGGATTTTAATTCTCAACTGGATATATCACTTGCAAATATTTTTTCTTATTCCACGAGTTACCTTTTTATTGTGTTGATATTTTGTTGGTTGTACAGAAAATCTTCGGTTCGCATTCACTTCACTTTGTTAAATTTATTGCTATACTTCGTAGCCACTATATATAGAGTTGGTTTCTTTTTTTTATTTTATTTTATTTAAGAGGAAAAAGAGAAAAACACAAAACAAAACAAAGCGGTGTAAGGGTACATGTAATACAGAACTACAAAAAAAAAAAAAAACATAACAGTAAGAAATCACCTGTTAATAGATTACATATTATCATCTTGAAAACAGTTGCTCAAATCACAGTATCAGAGAATACAAAGTGGACATTCAAACAGGGAGACTGCAAACAGCTGTGTTCAATGATCCAAAAACATTAATATAGTCAGCTATTTAACACCCCTAAACACACTTGCTGTTATATCCATTAGAGCTCTTTTTTTTCCCCCTCTATTTTTTACAACAAAATTTACACATTTTGGATTTTATTACTCCTTAGTTCTTATTACTTTTGGGGGGGGGGAGAATACAGTCAAATATGGCAAAAGAAAGCTGTCAGTCAAAACCAAGGATAGACATAGCACATGGTGTGGAACAGAGTACAAGGTTATCAACAATGGTTATCAACGTTGTCTCTTGTTTCCTTAAAAAGAATTGTCTATCTCATTAGATATTATAAAGTTGGACAAAACAGTAGAGAACAAGACCAATAAAACTGAGGCATTGTAAACATTACAGGACTGCCAAAGGAGACAATAGTCAAACCAGAATGGGCATCTTAGTGAATCTTATTGCCTTCAAAGTAGTTGCCTATACCCTCAGACTTGATACTATCATACAGAATGGAACAGAGTCTAATCAGTCAAAACAAGATTGTGGGAGTATTACAGGACTTCAAAACAAGTTAATAGGAAATCAAAAAGAGTTACTATTATATTTCCTAATTTTTTAAATTTTTCCCCTTAATTAAAACAAACATAAGAAATAACTAAATAATTTTTTTAAAGAATAAGGGGGAGATTGAGGTAAAACAAGACATAACAATATAACAATAGAGGTCAAAGCATGACTGTTTCAGCAACCTAGTACTTCACCACCATATAACCCGACTTAATAGTAGTTACCATAGTGTCTGTCTTTTTCCTTGAAATATTTGGATAAAACTTCATATACTATACCTTCAAATATTTCCATATCAAGAAGCCCAGAATAAAGCCTTTCTAATTAATGAGTGAAAACTTTATAAGGCTTCAAGGCCACATAATGGGGAATCATGATTACCACATATTTTTATATATTTGAATCATTACTTACATTAGGGAAACTATTCGGTATTCACACATGCGAGATTGATTTATTTCACTTATGAGTATGGTCTCAAGCTGCGCCCATTTATTGATAAATATCTCAATGTGATCCTTCTTTATAGCTGAATAATACTCCATTGTATAGAAATACCACAACTTTTTTATCCATTCCTCAGTTGATGGACACTTGGGTTGTTTCCAAGATCTGGCGATTACATATTGTGCTGCTATAAACATAGGTGCACATATATCACTGTGGTATGATGCTTTCAGTTCTTCTGGGAATATGCCTAGAAGTGGAATAGCTGGAATAAATGGGATTTCCAATCCCAACTTTTTGAGAAATCTCCAGACAGATCTCCACAAAGGCTTTACCAGTCTACACTCCCACCAACAGTGCAGGAGAGTTCCTTTTTCCCCACAGCCTCTCCAGCATTTGTTGTTGGTTTTCTTGATCCTGGCCATTCTTTCAGGAGTGAGATGGTATCTCAGTGTGGTTTTAATTTGCATTTCTCTAATGACCAATAATGATGAGCATTTTTTCATGTATTTATTTGCCATTTGCATTTCTTCATCTGAGAATTGCATATTCATCTCAGATGCCCATTTTTGGATTGGATCTTTGAATTTTGGAGGTCTGAGTTTTTTTTTTAATTCTTTATATGTTTTAGACAAGAGTCCCTTGTCTGAGAGAGAGTTCACTAAAATCTTTTCCCAGTTTGTGGGTTTCTTAATCTTTTTTAGTAGGTTCTTGTTAGTGTTTAAAATGCCACTAATTTATTTGTATTGATTTTATGTTCAGTTGCTTTTCTGGATTCATTTAGTACTTTTAAGATTTAAGATTTTAAAACAAACATTATGTCATTTGCAAACGGAGACTATTTAACTTCTTTCTTTCTGATTTGGTTCCCACCTATTTATTTTTATGTCTAATTACTCTGGCTAGGACTTCTAGTCCTATGTTGAATGGAAGTGGTGAAAGTAGAATTCTTTGTCTTGGTTCTGAACTTGGAAGAAAAGCCTTGTGATTTTCATTGTTGTACGTAATGTTAGCTGTACACTTATGGTATATGGACTTTACTGTATTGAGGTACATTCTGTAGCTAATTTTTTGAGAATTCTCATGATAAAAAAAGAATTTTGTTGAATGCTTTCTGCATGAAATGAGTTAATCAGATATTTTTTATCCTTCATTTGTCAATGTGATATATCATGTTTGTCCATTTGAATATGTGGAGCCATCCTTGCATCCCTGGGATAAATTTCACTTGAACATGATTTCTTCTAATGTGCTGAGGCAGGGAGTTTTTGTTTTGTTCAAGATAGAGTCTTGATATGTTGTTCAGGCTGGCTTTGAACTCATTTTATAACCCAGGCTGGATTCAAACTTAGTGCAATCATTCGGCCTCAGAGTCTTGAGTGTTGGAAGTACAAGTGTGACCACCATGCTTGGCCTTTTAATTCAATGATAAGCCATTGGAGTCAGCTTGCTTGTTGTACTTTGTTTAGGATTTTTGTAGCTGTGTTCATCCCTCTAATTTTCTTTGTAGCATGCATTTCTGTCTTCATATCTGAAAATTTAGAAGTACTCAGCCCTTTTCACTTTCTTGTAAGAATTCAAGGACTGGTATTAATTCTTTAAAGTTTGTCAGAATTCACCAGAGAAGTCATCAGCTTTTCTCTCATTGGTGATTTTAGTATTACTGATTCAATCCCCTTCCTCATTATTAATCTGTTAAAATTTTCCATTATTTCAAGATAATTAAATGCATTTCTTTCAACTAACCTTTATTAAAGGTGCATTTGATAAATAATAAAAGTGTTTAAAATGTTCAGTGTAACAAGCTTGCACCTATTAAATGCTTTAAAAATCATAAAATGGATTAAGATACTAAGCTCACATATCACTTCCAACAGTTTCCTTGTGTCCTGTGATAAGCCCTTTTCTTTTATACTGCCCCCGACAAATAATGATGTATTTATTTATAATAGATTTCTTTGCATTTCATAGAATTTTTATATGATTGAATCATAAAATATGACTGCATTTTTGTTTCTCTTTTATTTATCAGAATTATTTTGGGGCTTTTGCCTTGTTATTAAAATACAAACAATCTTTTGATTGCTAAATAGTACTCTACTGTATGGACATATCATAGATTCCTCATCCATTCATTCACTAATACCTGACTGTTTCCAGTTTTAGTATATTTAATTTAATGTTTGAATAATAGAAAAACAGTGGAAAATTGGAACAGGACAGTATCTCACTGGGTGTAGCACTTTAATTAATTAATTAGTTACAGTTAGTTACAATCAATCCATGAGAAACAGGCTTTTTGCTCAAACTTTTCCAGAAAGACAAGTGAGTTTTTAGTGATACTGCATCACAGTGCTTCACAACTTCCTTCCTACACATGTCTTCTCTTTTCTATTCTGGATGGCAACTACCTTTTTAGTCCTTTCTTTTTCTCAGATACTCTAGTTCTTGTTATAACCTCAGACGATCCAGCTCCTGGAAAGTATATTCAGCAAAACAAAAGAGTTAAGAGCACATCAGCTCTACATGGAAAGCAGCTGAATGCCCAGCTTTTTTATCCAAGCTTAATTCTTACTGATATTTTCCTCCCACCCATGTTCCTTCACCAAAAATGGCTCATCAAGTAATTTGGGAAATAAAGCAAATTTCTCTCCAGGGAGAATTCTGTCATTTATAAAAGAAGATTTTCTCCTTCTCCTTACACACACACACACACACACACGCACACACACACACACACACACGCACACACACACACACACTGGGTAAAATCACATGAATTGGTTTAGCAAAGAAGAGGATAATAATCATCATTTAAAGTTCTAAACTTGAAGTTGAAGTACTATAATTTTATGGGAAACAGTAAGAGGCTAGGTTTCAATGAGTCATCACAACTAATGATACCTACTTGGGAATCATGTGTACATAGAGGTAAGAGTGAAATATTTACAGTTGATGAAATCCTCCAAATAACAAGTGAAAGAAAAGAACAAAATCCTAACATAGTAATTTCTAACCAGTCACACTCTTAGACAAAAGGAAAAGCAAAACCCTGAGAAAAGAATTTCATCCTAGAAACAAGAAGAGAAATGAGACACTCCCTTGAAAGTGAAGGTTAAAAAGAGATTCAACAGGTTTTAAATTGTTATTTCAACATCCATAAAATGAGACGTGGTAGCATCACCAGCTTCATTGGTGACAGGAATGGGTGAGGAGCACTGTGGACAAATTTAAGAGTGCATGGCACAAGGGAAGAGGTAAAAGAAATGCAGGCGTTTATGCCAAGATAACTGCAATTTGATTATAAATGAATACCACAGGGAGATATTTATGAAGACACAAAACAGAAGATACTGAAGAAAGATAAACTGAGAAACAAAAGAGCATGGGGAAATTAATTCTTGGACCCTATCAGGATATTTCTGAGAAATATGAGCAAAAGAAGAAAAAAGAGTGTGGGAGACAGAATTATAATAGTAAAAGCCACTTCACATGAGAAAATGTTTAATTTGGTGGTCAGTAAAAGCTGAATTAAAAGGATACCATGATTGGCAAAAATCAAAGATTCAATAACATGGAATGTTAGTAAGCATATGGGGAAATGGTTACATACACAGTAGGAAAATAAACCACAATAATCTTTCCGAAGGACAGTTTGGTGGTATTTATTAAGAATCTGCATTACATTTTACTTTACAATTCAAAGAAACAACTGCATAAAAATGCATACACCTGGAGAGAAGATGTATGCCATTGCATTGTTTATAAATGGCAAGGTATACGACTTGTGTAAATTCCTATCAGAAATAAATGGGAAAATCAATATCCATGATACACAATACTATAAAATAATTATAATAAACAAAATACAGAATGATGTGCTAAATTGGAAAAGTTACTAAGATTTATTATTTGGTTGTAAAGGCAAGTGGCCAAGTAATATGTACAAAGCAACACAATTTTTATCAAACTATAAACACATATACAAAGCAATCTGTACATATATGTGTGTGTGTGTATAAGATGTGTGTATACATGCATACATATTCACAAATATACTTTCATTAATTCACTACTTATTGAGTCCCTATTATATATTTCCAAGAATCTTATTTTAGTATGGAGTACAAAAATATATAAAGAAAAGGTGCTAGAAAATACACTCTGAGTTGGAACAGTAGTTATTTCTGGGGGAGATAGAAAGAAAGTGTCAAGAGAACCTTTGTTCAGTTTACAGTGTTTAGTTTTGAGTGATGTAAGAGCTAAGACCTGAGGAGGCACCCAGTAGAAACACCATGCTGCTAAGTGAAGTCCAGAGGAGGAAAACAGGGAAAAGAACACGAGTCAGTGATTGAATCATCTTTGGGTGTGAAAGTGGGTCAGCAGAGGATGCTAAGCCATAGATCTAAGGAGGGCTGCAGGCATAAAAGGCACAAGCTTCAAAGAATGGTGAGCAGAGAATGGCAATTAGAGGTGGCCACAAGCACCTTCAGTGTCACCAGCCACCGCCAACCCTGCTGTGGAGCTGGTTTTGGAGACTTCTCAGTGGAGGAGAGAAACAGGATGTTGGTATTGTAATAACAGAACCTTGTTTCAGGTAGAGCAAAGATAGGAACCTAGAGAAAGGTAGAAAGAAGTGAACAGTATAGGACAGGTCAACCACGGACTGGTAATGTGTGCTGGCGAGCATGCCATAGAGCATGCTCTATGACAGTGAGAGAGCAGGATAGCAGGGTGGGGCTGGCCGGGGACTTGGGTGTGGTCAATTGGGATAATGGGGACATTAAGGCAGGCAGCAGAAAGGAAGCCTTTCAGAGGAAAGTCAGAGTGGGAACCAGGGAGTCCTGCTCTTGTTACTCCAGGACCATATAGGTCAGAGCAGGAAAATCCAGTTCAGGAGGCAAGAAGCCAGTGTACCCAAGGGTACACATACATTCTCTCAGGCACATGCCCTGACATTCCAAATGTGAGGCATCTCATGAGTCACAGACAGCAACAATTATCTGACCTGCTGAATATTTTCATACTCAATTACCTTAGTAAGAGCTGTCATATGGGAATGTTTCCTTATCCACCTCCAGTTCAAATCTCATGGTGTTATGTTCAGAGCTATGTCTGTGACCCTAATTGAGTTGCCTTTTGCAGGAAAAAATGGAGAAAATTTTCAATTAAGTAAATCGCTTGCCTCTAGGATGAAATGGAGTTTGTCCTGGAGGCAAGAGGAGAAGAGAAAGTAAATGACAGTTTCTTGGAAGACTCTTGGAACAAAGGGCATCTGTGCTAAGTGGAACAACGCTCCAAAGAAAGTTTGCCAGGACATCAGGAAATACAAGAAAGAGAAAACATGCAAATGGGATCAAAATGTAAAATAATAAATAAAAATGAACATTAATTATTTGTTATATATGGAGAGGATCATCCTCATGTTAAGACAATGGAAACTTCTTTCAGAATAGTAAGTCAGCAACTAATGACTGATAAAATCTCATTAGATGTGTTTAATCTATAACTGCTAATGAGAAGGGTCTCTTCTTTGGACTCTAGGATTCTATGATTCTAGAAATAAATGGATTTATAACAATATAGTCCAAGAAACAAATTGTTTGATGACCTGGTTACAACAGAATATAACAAACACACAAAGAGAGAGACACAGAAAGATAAAACATGGAGAAAGTTAGAAAAGGGAAGTAAATCTAGAGAGTAGTAGAGAAAATCCATGATGTACCTACATAGAACTCAGGAACTTAAAAAAAAAAAAAAAAAAAAAAAACAGAAAATCACAAGAGGAAACAAAATTTCTAGTAATATGAATTCCCACAGACTTAATGAAGTATAAGATTCAAGTAGAATTCACTAAAGTACACAAGTAGGATCTAAAGAGAAGCACTTTGATAAAGCATCGGCTTCTACTCTTTTTCTAAAAGATGCCATCACACCTCAGTTTGATCCTGGTGGTCAGGAAAAGTGAGTGTAGTATCTGGGTGTGTCTGTGAGACCTTACTTCTTTTAAACATCTATATTTGAGTCTATTTAAATGTAATACCTTATAAAATGAAGTAGGCTTGATCTTTTATAGAAGGAAAATGGAAAATAGTATGAGGAATGCAGAGTTGATCTGCTCAGCTGGAAATAGGCTAGAGAAGATGTGACCTTCGTTATGGGCACTGACCTGCAGCCAGAGAAAAGAAAGGAGGACCTCTCATGGATGAGGAAGATAATCATTAAGGCACTGGTAATCCAGCGAGATGTCAGTGACCAAGACTCCTCTTCCAGTTCTCTTCTAAGCTCTCCTTCAGTCCATGTGGAACAGAGGAAGCAGACTCTGCAGGAGGAGGCTGTAGCTCTGTATGACACACAGTGAGACACACACACACACACACACACACACACACACACACACACACACACTCAGGAGAGAACAGGACAGTGGACTTTGCATATTTTAAAAGTTCCTGGATATGGCTATTACCTCTAGGATTAAGGAAACTAAAATTAGGAAAGGAAAAATGTTAACAGAAAGTATTTGCACAAATAACAAAGGCTTGATTGACAAGAGCCACAAAGTCTGATTTAGGGGAACCTCTATATTTCCTCCTAGCAATGCCCCAGTGTAAGCAAAGTAAACAATCAGAAGACAAAGATTGAAGACAGAAGCTGCTATGTAACAATAGCCCTGTAATCTCCAAATCATTGACACAGTGAAAACCAAAGAAGGAATTAAATGAAGCCTTTCATGTCCATGTCATATTTTTTGAGATCTTTAGACATTGAAAGGAGAATGAAGAAACTCAGTGTAGATGCAAGAAGCCTATGAGATACAAGTGGAATTCATAAGATAGGCTATGTGTAGATGCACAGGGCGCCAACCTCTGAAACACACATGATTGGATAAATTCACCTTGAATGTGCTGCACATAACAAGGGATAGGAAAAAGCAAGAATCTGCTGCTGCATGTCCAACCCACAAGGGGAGCAAGCAGTTCCCACTGCAGGCAGCATGGGGAACAGGGGATGAGTGACTGAGGGCTACTAACCTGCGACACTGCTGCACAGGTCCGCAAGAGTCATTTGGCTCTTCACAGAGGGAATCATTACGAAGCAGGATGTGTTATTTCTAGACTGAGCAAATGAACATATTTTCACTTGGAAACCCATGAATCATTTTTATGTAAAAAAAAAATTCTCTTTAATTGTGCTCCAAAAAGTCACTATTACCTACAGCAGAAAGTCCTCGTCATAAATTTCATACATTGCATTTAGGGACAAAAATAATGAGTCATAAATTTGACAAGCAATTCCCTCACTTCACATCCATAGCTCAATAGAGGTAGAGTTGCACCCTAGGGTGCACGAAATGAGAAAATAAGAGCTGAGAGTCTATTTGAGGAGCAGTTGGAGCAAAGAAGATGACACTGAAGAAGTGCATTATTCCTGGAAGTAAGTTTGGGCCTCAGAGAATCAAGTTATCCAGA